GGTTTCGGGTTCAGGGGTTTAGGGTTGAGGGTTTTTTTCTCTGAGGTGGCCCGTCAAACGCTGGACAGGTCTAGTTGGGCATTCTCTTGACCGAAAGGTACGCTGCGGAGCCCTTCGTTTTGCTACACCCTCTTTCTGTAGGCGACCCCCAATTCCTATTCCATGGTGGCGATCTAGTCTGATTCGAAATCCCAAGCCCAGAAAGCAAAACCCACCACCTGAAAAACCCTCGTCCCTAAATAGTTTAGGGTTTAGGGGTTTAAGGTTTAGGGTTTAGGGTTTTTACCTTGAATTCCTAACGAGCCCAAAACCACTGTGCTTCGGAAGATCTGGGTTTGGGTTTAAGGCATCGTTGAGCCGAACTTGCATATAAGTAAACAGTGTAAGTGGAACCTTTGTAGGGTCTTGAATCGGTTTAGGGTTTAGGGTTTAGGGTTTAGCTCTACTAGGGGTGTATCTTGAAGTCCCACAAAGATGTTAAGCAGTTTGAGATAGTTTGAAGCATCGTTTTTTGGGTCCGGAAGACAAGTTTATCGTGAATTCTGCCGGTTTCGGCTGCGTGGATGATGTGGGGCGAGGGGTTTTGAGACTCAAGGCATGATGCTCCTCTTGGGTGAAGAGTTACGGGCTTAACGGGTGTTACGATGGGTATGGCGCAGGATTGCATAGGGGATGGTATGGTTTGTTGGTTCATTCTAAAGTTGAACCCATGGGGCCCTAGTACGGGCTTTTGAGGCTGGAATCCTTATATACTTATATACCTACTAACCCTAAACCCTAAACCCTAAACCCTAAACCCTCAACCCCTAAACCCTAAACCCTAAACCCCAAACCCCTAAACCCTAAACCCCTAAACCCTAAACCCTAAATATACTCTATAGGTACCCTTAACCGTCCCCTGCCTGGCAAGCCTCCTCGAGGCTCCGCAGAGATTGACACCTTCGTCGATAACTACCGGAGATCGGAGGTCGTCCAATTCACGGAGAGTGGCACGTGGGAGGCCGGATTAGGGTTTATAGGGTTTAGGGTTTATAGGGTCTATAGGGTTTAGGGCTTAGGGCTTAGGGCTTAGGGTTTAGGGTTTAGGGTTTAGGCCCGGAGCTCGCTAAAACCCTATGCCCTAAGCCGCTTTGGAGGTTTGTTTTGCTGCTCATAGTTTTGACTCCAGGGTTTCGAGTGGAAAGTTTCGTCTGTTTGGGGTCCTTTTCTGTTTCGGCTAAACATCTCTAATCTGTAGGGGAGCTCTGCACCACAAGACCCAAACCCTTAACCCTGAACCTAAACCCTGAACCCGCCCACCCCCTAAACTAGAGACTTTAGCCCTAAACACCCTGGAACAGAGACTATTTAACCCTAAAAGCCCTAAACCAGAGACTTTAACCCCAAGAGCCCTGAAACAGAGACTCTATTTCAAAACACCGTAAAACAGAGACTTTGACCCTAAACACCCCAAAACAGAGACTTTAACCCCAAAGCCCTAAAGACCCTTAAACCCAAACCCCAAGCCGGGGACTTTGGGCCCTGGGTTTAGGGTTTAGGGTTATATAAACGTCAAGTGCTAATTCTCATACCAATACTAATACTGATTAACATGTTCAGCTTAACAATACGAAAATCATGATACTGGATGATGATACACCTCTCGGAGTGATTGCCACTCTTGTTCCTTAAGGTTCCAAAATGACGCAGCAACATAGTTATACTGTACGATATCCCCCAACCCTATTTTACTTTTTGAGGCCCCTGTATTGCACCCTCGTTCTTCCCAGACAATATGCCCACAAATTCAAGCACTTTAAAGCCGTCCACCTCAACCAAGTTAAACTTTAACCCAAACCCTAAACCCTAAACCCTAAACCCTAAACCCTAAACCCTAAACCCTAAACCCTAAACCCTAAACCCTAAACCCTAAACCCTTAACCTTAGACCCTATCCCTAAACCCTAAACCCTAAACCGTCAAGCCCCAGTCTTTAACCCTCAGGTCGAAGCCAAGATTCCCAAGACCACGATTCTCGCTACTGTTGATGGACAAAATCCTGCATGACCCGAATATAGTATAGTACCATAAATCCCATAGTTTAGGTATATAAGGTCATGCAGGATTTTGTCCATCAGCCGTATCATTGCCATCGTTGTCGGTTCGTTGCTATCGCTGTTATTCCTTTCATTGCTATTGCTACCATGATTACTGCTAGCATGGTTGTTGTTCGAACTCTTGTGTTGTTGTCATTTGTATGGTGATTCTTACTGTGATTTAGACTATTTCGTGTATGCGTACTCTTGGTATGGGCATTAGTATCATTGTTGTAACTATCATTCTTCTTCGTACTGTTGTTATCAGAAGTAACTTTAATTACTAGTGTTACTCTTACTGTTATTACTATTACTACTACAATTATTAGTATTTTTAGAGTTATGATTATGATTTCGTATGAGTATTGGTATTCTTGTTATTGCTAAACCTCAAGCCCTAAGCCCTAAACCCTAAACCCTAAGCCCTAAACCCCAAACCCTAAACCCTAAACCCTAAACCCTAAACCGTAAGTCAAAGATTCAATCCAGCCTCACTGCAGGCCGATTTCACCGGCTGCCTAGAAGTCCTCGTTGTGGGTGGAGGCCACCCCGGAAGTGCTGGGTCGTAGCCTTTTTGTGGTTGTTTAGGGTTTCGGGTCCCTAAACCCTGAACCGTCAGCCCTAATCCCTAAACCCTAACCCCTAAACCCTAAACCCAACGTTTCTGAGAACATCTTCAGATGGTGCGAGCTGGTGCAGGCTTCGGTACTTGCAGCTGCTTTCAGAGTGCAGTCCTCCGGGTTCAAGCCAAGGCTTTGCAGAGTTCATGCGGTGCAAGGGCGGTTTTCGGTGCATATTTTTGGCAGGGTTGAGATGAGTTGTATAAATCAACCCTAAACCCTAAACCCGAAACCCTAAACCTTAAGCAAGTCGTCGGCGAATGTGTGTCGTTCTCATTCGAGTTTCGAGAGGTTCATTGGGTTGTTGGGCGTGCATTTCCAGCTCTACCCTAAACCCTAAACCCTAAACCCTAAACACCCCCCTAATAGTACTTTTGGGATGTCGTTTTATGGAGCGGGCCATGGCCCTGCAAGGCTGTTCATGTTCCACGTGATAAATTTCAGTTGTGTGCTCAGCTTCTGTAAGGCGTCGGCTGCACAAGGGTTTAGGCTTAGGTTTGTCTATCTTTAAACCCTAAACCCTAAACCCTAAACCCCGAAACCCTAAACCCTAAACCCTAAAACTCTAAACCCTAAACCCCAAACCCTAGGCCCTAAATGGCGGCCTTTTGCGTTTTCTGGTGTTCGTACTTCGGACTCCAAGCAGGCGGCGGTGGTGGTGGTAGTTATAGTAACTGTACGGCTACTACTACGACTACTACTACTACTACTACGACGACGACGACGACGACGACGACGACTACTACTACTACTACTACTACTACTACTAGTCCTACAACCACAACAACAACAACTACTACTACCCCCAGTTGGGTGGCACAAGCTTCACAAGCACCATTGACGGTTAGGGGTTTAGGGCTTATCGTTTAGGGTTTAAGGTTTCCTAAACTCACTGACACTCAGACCTAATGGGTTTCACCCCGCCTTCCTAAGTTCTAAGCTAAAAAGCTTCGACGTTGCTGCCTTGGGGGTTCAGAGTTTACATGACATCCAACAGCCCGGGACGCAAAGCCCTAAGCCCCAAACCCCTAAATCCTAAACTCCATAAAGATCCGGTCAGGAGCCTTGAAGAAGAACTCTTTACTGAATCCGAAAACTACCTAGACCGGAACCCCGAAGCCCACCGAGACCTTGAACCCAAAGCCCCAAGACCCTAAGCTCAAAAAATATTCCTGAACTCTACGCCCCAAGCATCGCTGAGCTTAAAATCCTAAACCCTAAACCCTAAAACTTAAACTCTACACCCTAGAACCTAGAGCCCGAAACCTTAAACCCTAAACCCTAAAACCCGAAACCGTAAACTCTAAACGCAAAAACCTTAAACCCTAAATCCTAAACACTAAAACCGGAACCCCAAATTTTATGACCCTAAACCTTAAACCTTAAAACCCTAAACCTTAAAACCCGAAACCCTAAATTTTATAACCCTAAAGCTTAAACCCTAAACCTTAAACCCCAAACCCTTGAACCCTAAACCCTAAACCCCCATCCCCAAAACCCTAAACCTTAAACCTTAAGCTCTAAATCCTGAAACCCGAAACCCTGAATTTCAAAACCCTAAACCCTAAACCCTAAACCTTAAACCCTGAATTTTAAGACCCTAAAACCCGAAACCCTGAACCTTAAGACCCTAGAACCCTTGGGTTGACAGGTGGAGGCGGTGGTGGCCGCTCCGGTGGTGGAGGGGCCGGAGGGGGCCTGATTCATCATCCCTGCTACCAGGCAAGGCGGGTTTAGGGTTTAGGGTTTAGGGTTTAGGGTTTAGGGGTTTAGGGTTTAGCAAGGGGGTACGTGGATTTCGGGTGGGTTCCTTTTTGGGGCTCTGGATTTCGGGGTTTAGGGTTTTTTTTGAGCTTCAAGTTTTGGGTCTAGCGCTGAGGGTTTCGGTTCAAGGTTTCTGCCAGGTTTCTTATGCCCCGGCAGATATACAGGACTTCTGATTCGATGGAGCCGAGGTATTGCCAGCTGTGCAGGTTGTTGTGTCGAATGAATCTGAAAGCCTTTCTTGTGATACACACCTACCCTAAACCCTAAACCCTAAACCCTAAACCCTAAACCCTAAACCCTTACTTCTGAACTTCATGGATCATGGGCTGTACCGACTGCTTTTGAGGGTGAGGGGAAGGCCGCATCACTGAAGCCAAGCTCCGTGGGTCTTACAACAGCCTCTTATGTTCACCGAATGGATTTTCGAAGGCAATGCCTTGATTGGGATTTAGGGGTTTAGGGTTTAGGGTTTAGGGTTTAAGGGTTTAGGGCCAAGACGCAGTACGGTGGGGTTAGGGGATACCAGTAGGACATGTCCAGGAGCTCGAAAGCGAAGGAAAGGAATCTGGAGATCAATGCATCCATGACAGAATTGAGTTGGCAGGGGACGGAAGAACATCAAGAAATGTAAATAGCAATGAAGGACATGTAATCAAACGTGACGTCATTAGTTCGACAGTGGCGAGAGTATTGAGGCAAGATGCAAACATGCCTGCAAGTTCGCAGAATTCCCAAACAACCACATGTTCAGGTGCTAAGTTGCTGAGAAAGCTGGGGCTCACACTGCTCAACCGCTTGAGAGAGAGAGAGAGAGAGATAAATACATAAATAAGTAAATAAATAGATACATAAATATAAATATAAACATAAATAAATAAAAACTAAATAAATAAATATAACTATATATATATATATATATATATTTATATTATATATATATATATATGACATACAGGTATATATATGTGTGTGTATGCATATAGGTATATACGTATGTTCACATAGATGCATATATGCATAAAGACATGTAAATGTATATGTATATGCACATGCATATTCATACGTATACGTATAGGTGTACGTCTGTGTACTATTGGAATAGGTAGTTTTTGTCTTTAGGTTCTTGTATTTGTTAATGTTTGTGTTTACGTTTATGTATATGTTTATGTATGTGTGTGTATCTATATGTATATGTCTACCATACATGTACACAGCATACTTGCATACGTATACAGGTATATAGGCGTGCTGTTTTCCTTGCCTCCGCCTCTGAACCAAAAACCGCGGCCTCTGAAATCTTCCCACGAAGTCAGGTGACCAAGGGCACGAAGTACGATGTCGTGGTGGGTGCCGGGGGCGACGGAGGTAAAGGAAACGCCGGACTTGGACAAAAAAGCGATGGAAAATCAGGCCTTGAAGTAAACTTGTCGGTTCGATGGGACTCTATCTCCGGAAGGTCCGGTTGAGTTTTCTTGTAGACTGACATAGTGGGGGTTTCGGCTCCGCAGATTCTACAGGGCTTCCCGGGTTTGTTGCGAGCTTTACGACATGTTGAATGCGTCGTCCTTTACTCTGAACCCAAAACCTCACAACCTTCAGAACCACCCACGCCAAGCCCAACAGCTTAAGCCGAGAGCGCTGCTTTGACCTTGAGTTATGCTTTAGTGTAGGGGCCTTAAGAATCAGAATAGGGTTTGGGGTATATTATACGGTACTTATAGCCTAAACCCTAAACCCTATAAACCCTAACCCCTAAACCCTAAACCCTAAACCAAACCCCCCAAAACTAATCGTTAAGGCCCCTACATTAGTTCCTTCGTCTCTGGCGGCGGGGCCTAACCTCCGAGCCCGAAGCCCTCTAAGACACTACTGGTTTAGGGTTTAGGGTTTAGGGTTTAGGGTTAGGGTTTAGGGTTTAGGGTTTAGATATGAATCCTGCATTAATTCAAGGATTTTAGAGTATGGGAGTTATGGTATAGTCCTTATTATGGGTAATGCATGTCATCAATCGTAAGAACGCCAACAAACAGGGGAGGTTTTGCGGGCTAGGATTTTGGGTTCAGTGATTCAGGGGGTTGGGTTCTCTCTGTAGGATCCAAGACCCTAGAGCCCTAAACCCTAAAACCCTAAACTCCATATCCCCAAACCCTAAGCCCAAAAACCCTAAACCCCAAAACCCTCAAGCCTTAAAGCCCTAAAGCTTGTTTAGAGAGTATCCAATGAGCACTGAAGCAAAGCTTAAAAGGCTCACAACCGCTTTAGGGTTTAGGGGCTCACAACCCTCAAGCGGAGTCACTAAATCCCACCTCTAAGCCCTAAGCAATGCACTGATAGCTTTGAACCCTGTGAGAAAGTCTTCCCGGGATGTCAAAAAGCTCCGGAGGTCAAGACTCGAAGTTCGCGGACCTCGTCGCCAAAGGTGGCTTGTTCGTTATTCAGTTCAGGTTGCAGAACTTTCTGCATCCAGTCTCTTCATATTGTCTTCATGGTTTAGGGGTGAGGGCTGGGCAGGTAGAGGTTTAAAGCCCTTGTTATACAGCGGAGCTGAAACAGTTGGGTCAGGGTAGGTCCCCCAGGCACCCGTCTCACATTGCCCTCGATTCGACATTCCCTGAGGAGGCGGAGGCGGCGGAAGCGATGGAACCAAAAAGGGAAAAAATGGCGGCAGTGGTGGCGGTGGCAAGTATGGCAAGGACTGTCTGTTACGGATGCGGGTGGTACAGGTTCCAGACAGGTTCCAGTCCGTTTGCCTCAGTTTCATTCAATTTTGTCCATCTCTCTCTCTCTCTTTCACAGATCTACCTGTATNNTATATATATATATATGTATAGCTCCAGAAGCAGAAGGTTTCAGACAGGTCAGACGGGTCAAGCGTTAAACGGCGTTTACACAAAAAACGACCCTAGGCCGCCCAGCCCCAAAACCGAAAGCCCCGGAAGGCCCTGAGCCCCTGCCGCCCTGCCCAGGACCCCGGAGCCCTAAGCCGCAAACCCGAAACCCTAAGCCCCAAGAC